GTTCCTGGTGCGGCTCCGATAACCAAAGCATCGTATCAGTTAGCTCCTTTAGAGATGCAGGAGTTGTCTACACAACTGCATGAGCTGTTAGACAAGGGGTTCATTCAACCGAGCAGTTCGTCTTGGGGAACGCCGATCTTTCTTGTAAAAAAGAAGGATGGGTCGCATCGGATGTGTATTGACTACCAGGAGCTGAATAAGCTAACGGTGAAGAACCGTTATCCGCTTCCGAGGATTGATGATTTGTTTGACCAACTTCAGGTTGCATCTTGGTTATCCAAGATTGATCTACGTTCGGGTTATCATCAGATGAGGGTCAGAGAGGATGATACGCAGATGACAGCCTTCCAGACTCGTTATGGTCATTACGAGTTCGTGGTGATGCCCTTTGGGCTCACCAATGCTCCAGCTGTGTTCATGGACCTCATGAACTGCGTATGCAGGTATATGCTGGATCGGTTTTATGATTGTGTTTATCGATGATATCTTGGTCTGTTATAAGACCCATGAGCTGCATGAGGAGCATCTGAGGGAGATATTGGAGACCTTGAGGAAGGAGAGATTGTATGCGAAGTTCTCCAAGTGCGAGTTCTGGTTGCGCGAGGTGCAGTTTCTGATGGGGTTTGAGCATAACAATCATATGTGGGCATGCAACCCTAATTGCTTTGATCTATGTTTTCTCTAATTGAACATACAAGTATTGAACATCAAAAGGAAAACCCTAATTGCACTATTATAATTTCGAAAAACATACCCAGAGTTAGTAAACATACCTTTGATTGTTATGTTGCAATAACAATAAAAATCCAAGTCTTCTTTAACCTTGAGAGCAAACGTCACAAGTGTCACGCCTCCAACGGTTCACACTCAAACTAAGCAAGAGGATGAGAGAGGAGAGAGGAGGAGAAGCTCTTAGAAATTCGGTTATCCTTCTGGGATTCAGAGTGGCCGAAAATCACAAGCCCTATGGGTCTATTTATAGTGCAGATAGGATACACTAGATAACCCTAATTTGAATAAAATATTATTAATTCAAATTGGTAATTATCCACATCTTTAATTATCTACTTAGGATAATATAAAACCCTAATTATCCTTAGTAAAATTGTCCACCACCTTCTAGGAAGGTTCTGGAACCCCTTAACTATTCAACAATTGCACTTAAGTCCCTACACTTTCAATTAATTCTTTTAATCCCAAAATTAATTCAAATTAATTTCTGATTAAATATTAACTAAATAATATGATTTCTAATTAATATATTATTTTCATAATACATTAATAAATAATTTATTTCAATTTATTAATCAAATAATAAATTCATCATCTCTCCAGATGTCATCCTGTCTAGTTGCTAGTTATGATGGCAACCCAAAAAGACTGTGCTACCATCAATTCAAGTATATACCTAGTTATGGGCTTAGACACCTAATCCAACAGTTTCTGGGGCATCTTGTCAACCAGAACGGTATTCTGGTCGACCCGGCCAAGGTCGAGGCGATGATGGGATGGGAGGTTACTACCTGAGATTCATTCAGGATTTCTCCAAGCTAGCGGTTCCTCTAACTCGATTGACAAAGAAGACTGTCAGGTTTCGCCGGGGGCTTGAGCAGCATGCAACTTTAAGACTCTGAGACGGAGATTGTGTGAGGCACCGATTCTGACCCTGTCGGAGGGTGTTGAGGACTTTGTAGTTCATTGTGATGCGTCGGGATGTAACTTGGTGTGTAGATAGGTGCTTGATTTGCAGGAAAGTCAAGGTCGGACATCAGCGGGCTCACGACAAGATGTTGTCGTTAGACATTCCCGTTTGGAAATGGAAAGAGATTACCATGGGTTTCATTACAAAGTTGCTTCAGACAGCGTGCAGAGTGGACTTGATTTGGGTCATCTTGGATTGATTGATCAAAAGCGCTCATTTTATTCCGATTCAAGAGAGTATATCCGCAGAGAAGTTGACCGATATATAATCAGGGAGGTTGTGGCACATCATGCGGTGCCGGTTTCAGTGGTTTCAGACAGGTATATCCGGTTTTTACTTCCAGGTTTTGGAAGTGCTTTCACGAGGAGTTGGGTACTCGTCTGCACTTCAGCACGACTTTCCACCCACAGACTGATGGACCGAGTGAACGGACTATCCAGACCTTGGAGGATATGCTTCAGACATGTGTATTGGATTTCAGTGGGAGTTGGGATACGTATCTCCCTTTGGCGGAGTTTTCGTATAACAACAGTTATCATGCAAGCATTAATCGCCTCCTTTTGAGATACTCTATGGGAGGAAATGCAGGACCCCGATATGCTGGGGTGAGGTGGGTCAAGAGTCATGGGGAGTACCGAAGTTGTACTCAAGACCACCGAGTTGATTCAGCAGGTTCGGAGTAGACTTCAGACACCACAGAGTATGCAGAAGAACTATGCCGACAAGCGCCTATCATACCTAGAGTTTCAGGGTTGGGGATATGGTTTTCCTGAAGGTGTCGCCTTCAAAAGGTGTCATCCAATTCAAGAAGATGGGCATGTTGGGCCCCATGTACTTCGGTCCTTTCAGAGTTTTGGCCCTGGTGGGCCGGGTTGATTATCACTTGGATCTTCCCGAGAAGCTTAGTCAAATCCATAACACGTTTCATGTCTCGCAGCTGCGAAAATGTTTGGTTGATGATTCCGCGATGGTTCCATTGAAGGATATTCCAGGTGGATGATCGCCTGAATTATATCGAGAGACCGGTGGCGATTCTTGATCGGAAGACGAAAACCTAGAGGAACAAGGTTGTTGAGTTGGTGAAAGTGTGGTGGCAGCATCGTAAGGGTTTAGAATGGACGTGGGAGTCGGAGGAAGAGATGATGGAGCACTACCCTGAGTTATTTGCGGCAGCGAACTTCGAGGACGAAACCTGATTCAAGTGGAAGAGAATTGTAATATTCACGATGTAGGAGTATGTTCCTTTTATACCCTATTTTTAAAATTCTTTTCATTTTGGTCCCTAGCCTAGTAAGCTGAGCGTATTAGCTCGAAGATTGGACGTGGAGGCACCCCACGTACGCTGGGCGTACGTGGGAGTATGTTGGGCGTACGCTAAGCAGGGGAAAACCCTAATTTTTAGGGTTTGTGCCCTATTTAAGCAACTGATGTTGCCTTGGGTGCATCTTATGTGCAACTTCCACTCCTCAAAACCCTAAGATCGAAACCCTAATTGCCATTTGTGAGATTTGTGCTTGGAAGTGAGTTTTGGTGATTTTAAGGAAGAAGAACACTTGGCGGTTGCTTTGGTGTGGCTTGAGCTTGTAGATCTAGATTTTTCTCATCATTTCCAGCTTCATTGAGGTATAAATCTTTGAACTTGTTCCTTGTTTGCTTAGATCTACTCTTTATGAAGTTTTGATCCCATTTTGGTGATATGTTGAGATCTAATGGATTCCTTCCACTCCAGAAGTTAGGAGTTGCTTTTCTTGATGTTTCTGAGGTCCTTAGTCCATAAAGTTAGCATCTTGATGGTTGTGGATCAATCATGCATGTCCATAAATAAATTGATCTTGGACACTAGACGGTTTATGCCTTTGTTGTGTACTTTTTTCAGTCGTCACATAAATTATTACTCTTTCTCCTGGTCATACATGTTAAGCATCACCATGAAGTTTTCATCAGAATCGAGTTTAATAAAACATTATTCTTTTGCATGCTTGTCAATAAAGACTATTGACAAAACAATATCGTTTTTTGATGGATAATGTTTTTTCACCTCTTCAACCGGTTGATTCAAGTTATATGAGAATATGTTTATATAGAGAGTTTTTCTAAAGCCGAAACAATACACTTGCCTACATGAGTTCCTGGTAAACCGAAAAAAGCCTTCATATTTCAGTTTAAGCTTGTATTTCCATGTTACTTAATTATCGGGGAGTGATCACTTATCTCCCATCTCAGTGTATCAATCTCATCATCCATCAAAATTAATCGAATGCACTAATAGCAAGAGATGGAGAAGAAACTCTGTTTTGTGAACCAAAAGTAGTAGAACGTAGATACATAATTAATTGAATGCAAAGTTAATCTAATGAAAATTACAATTACTTCAAATAAGATGACAGACCTATTGTGATTAAGAAGATAGAACGATAACAATAGATGGAGGAGAAACTTTGTTTTTTGTTAACCAAAATTAATCCAACACAGATAATAATTGAATGCAAAGTTAATCTAATGCAAATTACAATTACTTCAATCAAGATGGCATACCTATTGTGATTAAAATTTGCGACCTGTCGAACTGATTAGCATGGAGACAAGATACGCTAACGAAGAAGATGATTCCTATATAAGGGGGGCTTAATCGAATTAAGAGATAGGATTGTGTAATATGTTATGTGATTTAGTTTGAGATTTAATTAAGGGTTAATTTGAGATTTAATTAGGAAATGGTAAATCGGTAAACTAATATATAATTTTGATTATTAGATAAAAAAATTAATAAAAATTGATATAATTCTAATTAAAATTTGATTTTGGATATTGATGTAATTTTTATAGTTTTAGAGGGATATACACGTAATATTAAAGTATAAGGATATTGATGTAATATTCTGTTTTTATAATGTTTTTATAAGGACATGAATGAAATTTTCCCTTTCTTCAAACACCTTGATTCCACTTGGCCAAAAACCATTTAGTAGAAGACTGCCAATATTAGTGTGTGGAATAAGAGTACTTACTATCGAGAACAAAATGCCAACAAACTCAAATACGCTTGGGAGGACCGGAAGTTTGGCTCTCGCCTACTCGTATCATGATTGACAATAAGGCACCAAGAAATAACCCAAATATTTTATTAAATTCCATATGAATCAAACATCAGCAAAAACAAGCAAACATTGTTATCAAACTATAGGTCAAATGAAACGTAACAACAATTTTCTTGTAGATATGATTTTCATAAAACAAAGACTTCCACTTAATGTCAGAATAATCATTGCACTTGTAATAATCATTACTCCACGATCCCTCACCAATAATCCCCACAAGAACACACACCATCTTTAAAATGATGGTACCGATTTAAATCTCTACATACAATCTCCCTCTTAGTAATCTTGGATATAAACTTAATTGCAACATGACAATCCTCACAAACCCGAAGATTTTTCGTGATCAAAAGTCTACTCTGAGGTGGTGTACTAATCAACCCAAACGCAATCGCTAGCCTCTCACTATGCCTACACACCATCCCCATCTTCTCATCATCCTCCACATCATGAAACACTGGTGTAGTGTTAGGAACATATCCCGCTTCACTCATCAACTTTTCAACCCTTTTCAATTCCGCATCTATCTCATCGGACAACGGATGACTCGTATCCCCCGAAAGAAATGCGTTGATTTTATTGTTGACTTCAATCCAACTACACGCGACATCCTTTTTAAGTTCCCGTTTTGTCATTAGCTCCCGAAGCTTTTCCACCCCTGAATACCGCCCGACTTGCGCGTAAATATTCGACATGATCACGTAGTTTCCAGGTTCATCTGGTTCGAGCTCAGTCAACTTCTCTAACGCAAGTTCACCAAGCTCGATGTTTCCATGGAATTTGCAGGAATGGAGCAGTGCACCCCAGACGCCGGCGTCTGGGCTGACTGACATATTCTTGATCATGTTATAAGCTTCGTCTAATCGACCATAATGACCAATTAGATCGACGATACACGAATAGTGTTGAACGGTTGGTTGTATTTTGTAATTATGGATCATTGATTCGAAATATTCTCGACCTTTTCTAGTAAACCACCATGGTTACAAGCGGAGAGAACACCAACAAAAGTTATGTGGTCGGGATTGGCTTCACACGTCATTTTTTCGAACAAATTTAGTGCTTCGGTTGCATGTCCATGCATTGCATACCCTGTAATCATGACATTCCAAGAAGCAATACGTTTTTCTGATAATTGATTGAAGAGATTTATGGCTACCTTCACGTATCCACTTTTGGCGTACATATCAACAAGTGCGGTTTTTACTTTATCTTGGAAGTAAAACCCTTGTCTCCAGCTATACCCATGAAGCTCTCTTCCTTGTGGAAAGGCTGCCATGGAAGCAGCGGCGGAGATGGTGGTGACAAGAGTCGCAACAATTGGTCTCACCATCTTTGAGGCCATTTCACTGCACAAAACCAGGCAGTCTTCAAGATGATTGTTTTGAGCGTATGCAGCAAGCATGGAGTTCCATATGACAACATCTCGTTGAATTATTTTATCAAACACCTGCCGTGCATTACTCACGTTTCCGCATTTTGCATACATATTGATTAAACTTGCACCCACAAAAACATCCATTTCCCATCCGGTTCTCACCATGTGGTCATGAACATTTCGCCCCACATCGATGGCACTAAGATTCGAACATGCTTTGAGAACATACGTAAATGTATAATTATTAGGAAAAATGCCGTTATTGATCATTTCATAATATAGAGAAATCGCAGCATTGTAAGGGCCGTTCCAAGCATACTCACAAATCAAAACGTTCCAAAGAAAGACATTTCGTTTAGAAATTCTGTCGAATAGTAGGTGGGCATTAGACACCTGGTTGCAAGAACAGTACAAATCAACAAGCTTACCACATAAAATGGTGTCGTTTCCAAGACCATTTAAGCAAAGATGTGCATGAAGCTGCCTACCTGGCTGAATCGCCCTTCTAGCAATGAATGTTTTTAAAATATGTTGGTAATCTAATCGAGAACGATTGGTCAGGTGGAGCTTCGGAGGAAGACTAATCTAATCGAGAACGATTGGTCAGGTGGAGCTTCGGAGGAAGACGATGATGATGGGGTTGTCATAGTCGGTGTTGTTCGTGAGTGATATAGTGATTGACATTGGTGTCGTGAGTTGGATGAAGAATCAGAATCAACGATGGTGGTCAGAGAGGAAAACATGAGTTTGTCATGTGAAAGAGTCCATCTCTTGAGTTTTGTTGTCACTTGAACTCGAATTAGCATTTTGGCTTATGGTTCAACTAATGCATGCAATAGTGACCATTTCTGCAAACTCATGTAGTAGAAGAGGTAGACCAAACGTCTGCAATCTGCAACTATTTTTTTTTTAAAGGCTACAAACTGCTAAAAAATAAATGATTTTTTTTAACTTCAAAGACTTTGAAAAAAAGATTAATAAACAAATTTTGACAATTACCATCACATTATAGAGCAATAAAAATTATCATTTTGATGACATTAAATAAACAATTTTATCATATAATGAATCAAAATAATCATAATACATTATTACATTACAGAATCTCCTAAACTATCCAAACATCAAACTCCATGCTCTAAATCACATTATTCATATGTGAAATACTTTACATTGCAAACCCATAACACAAGTAACAGCAGGTAGCTCTTTGGTAACATGCGCCTTCTCAGCCGATAATATCCCCTTTTTCAGTAATCAATATTTTTTTTATCATTTAAAAGCCTTGCAGATGTAGAAAGTGCAATCTTTATCATCAACAATACTTATCAAGCTAAATTATTTACATTTTCAGCAAATTATATGCATTTTCAGCATATAAATCTGATTTTCGACAACTATGAACATCTAATTTTAGTTAAAATATGATTTTCAGCAACAATAACATTAGATTTCAACATTTTCAGCAAACTATATACATTTTCAGCAAATATAACATAAGATTTCAAAATTTTCAGCAAATTATATACATTTTCAGCAAAGTATATACATTTTCAGCAAATATATCTGATAATCAGAAACTATGAACATCTAATTTCAACAAATAGATCCCATTTCGAGCAACTATGATAATCTAATTTCATATTTGAGCACCAACAACAAACCCTAGAAGATATCATCTGATTTCAGGGAAATAAACTTGACTAACAACGTACCGGTGGAAGCAGACGTCTCCGACATTGGTAAAGATGGTGTGCGTTACAGTAGGCGTCGACGAGAGTGAACGTAGGCAGATTAGACGTCCGGCGACGTTGCTGAGCAGAGCAAAGTCCATCTGCGAGCAATGAACGACATCAACGAGGTGGTCGGCGCCGAGGCTATCACCGGAGTCGAAGAATTCACGGGCATATAAGGTTTCAGCGATCTAGGTTTCGGGGAGGAAGGTTTGTGAACAGGGAAATCTGGAAACGTAACGGGAAGGACGAAGAGTCTTTTTTTTTTTTTTTTTTTAAGGCCTTATATCAAAATATATCTTGAAATATCATATTTATTCTTCGTAACTTTAAAAATATCGTATTTGTAAAATTTCATTTTTTTTAAATATTTTTAAAACTTTTTAACAAGTTTTCATGTTTTTTAGTTATTTTATTTTTATAAAAAGAAGTTAATTGACTATATTACCCTTAAATAAGAATATCATTTTGAAATAAAATGGATCCACCATATCATCCTCACTATCCTAACCCATACACTCCATTCTAAATAGACACATATACAGACGACGCACACATTCAATATTCACGCATAAGTCTGATCACAACTCCCTTTTAGTCTTCCTTCTTTCAATCGGCTATAAGCAGTAGTAGTAGCAACATATTTTGATTTTAAGTTCCAACTCCACCCCATTTTATTTCCAGTTATGCCCCTATTCCAATTTAGCCTTCGCTTCACCCCAGTTAATTTCCAGTTATTCCCCTCTTCCAATATAATAGCCTTCGCTCCACCCAACTATATTTCCATTTATGCCCCTATTAAACTAGTATTCTTTTACATCCCCATATATATATATTTTTTTTACATTTATGCCTTGTTAGACAAGTGACAAGTATGAATTTGGTTAACTTATAACCGTGTAAATTCAGTGGCCAATTTGTTATGTATTTGCTAAAAATATCGATGTATTTTCTCAAAAAAGTGGTAAAAAATTATCTAATGCCATTTGCATTTAAAGGGTAGAAATGACATCATGCATTTGTTATGACCTTATGCATCTGATAAAAAAAAAGTAGTGATACACTATTTTGCATTTAAAGTGGTAAATTATAGTAACGTAGTATATGCATCAAGAAAGAAATAGAGGAAGGAAATTTGATCTAGATATGTTAAATTCGTAGAAAAAGATATCTTGTTGATCAACCAAATTGATTGCATCAAAATGGGAAATTGCATAATTCACAATAAAACTCATGAATTCTTGTATGTTACGAATGATTACTTGATCATAATACAAAGTTATTGAAAACAATGAAAATACATTGCACAAACAAGCCAATTCCTTTCCATCTAAATTGTCAAAAAAATTTCTTAAAACTTCATTGGTTCTTGATATTTCTGGAGTAAAACTTCTTTCTTGATCCATGTTTATTTCATCTAAAAGGCCCAAAAAACTTATTTTCCCTTTATTATGTATTGATTTACTGATTCAATTCAACACCCATATCTATATTTTGCCTTGAAATGAATAGTGTGCAAAGAACCATAGAATCTGATTAATCCAGCCATCCGGTGTCGATGTTGGAACTCCCCATTCTTGCTCAGGGTAAGCAGCATATGCATATCAGAACTGCAGCTCGGTTGGGTCTTTTGGATAATTCGGATTGGTTGGATTGACTAATTGAGGGGAAACTGACTTCCATTGACGAAATCGTTCAGACAAGTCAAGTAACTTCTGTGATCTTGTAAAGTTGTTGGAATCCATGAACAAGATTCAACCTAATTACCGTTGCTATACTCACCAGAGAATCAAGAATTGAGGCCGATTTAACCACCAACGAATTTGGAATGATGTCGGTGGTATTATCAACAACCGTGGTCATGCATCGTCTTCTCCTGGATACGCTTTTAGAGTTCAGGGAGGTTAGGAATTAACACCATGTTCCCGAGTCGAAATTAACGAGGGAAGAGAGAGAAAAGAAGAGAATTGGAGAGAAAGAAAAGGAGTCACGAGTGTTCTAGAATTTATTTTTTTGGAGTGATTTAAGAAGAAAGAAAGAAAATTACAGCATTCTCTTCTCTCCTAATCTTCCTCCCAAATTCGTTGGAGAAAAGAGAAGAAAAAATCCCTATGATTACCAAACTACCTCCTATATTCACGCACAACATCATAGGAAAAAAAATCATTGCTTCTCTCACAAGGGTATAATTTGTCCACTTTTAATTTTCATTTTTTCTTCTTCCAACTCAGGAACACAAAGAAAAATAATTTTCTTTTCCTTTCTCTCAAAACTCGGAAACAGAAAAATACACTTTACTTTCTTTTCTTTTCCTTTCTTTTCTCTACGTATTTCTCTTCTTTTTTTTCCTTTCCTTTAAATGAAACTCGGGAACATGGTGTAAGACACTTTGGGCAATATGATCAAAAAATAGATATGTGAAAAAGTTTTATTATCAAGGGCAATATAGTCTATTTATATTTTTTAAAAGTTAAAATGATTATAAAATATAAAAACAGATTAAAACAATTTTAAAAAATGTTAAGTTATTTTTTTGGACAAATACGATATTTTAGAAGTTAAAAATGGTAAATATGATATTTAGATTTAAGGTCGGATAAATACAATATTTTAAAGCTTAACAAAAGTATATACGAATTCTTTTTTTTTTAAATAAGGTCTAGGACAAAGGTCTACCCGTCCGAAGATATTGATCTAGGTCTTTTGACGCTCAGACGTCAAAATGTCAGCAATATTTAAAAAAACCAAACATACTTCAAGGCTCCATAGACGTAGATGTGTTCCCGCTCACAAACATAAGCGCTTAAAAAGGTATTTTTCTAGAAAACAGACAACGAGTTGGTTAAAACCAAATACTGTTTCATATGCTATATGTATAAGCATCATTTGGTTACCTATAATAAATTTAAGAGACTTAATAACTAGATGACATGATATTATCACATAAATAAATACACTCATTTATAAAAGCTATATCGATCATCTCCGACATAATATCTATATACGTAATTTACGAAAACTAGTAAAAAAACAACTCAAAGCTTATTCACACAACAAGAAAAACATTCATTGATGTTACTAGGGTTGTGCATGGTTCGATTTTGAGTTTGGACCCAAACCGAATCCAACCCATAAATGGTTGGTTTCTGGTTTTTAGAACCCAATAGGGTCGGTTTCTAGTCGGTTCCGTTTCTTGGGTTCTAGAGGCGGTTTTTCGGTTTCCTGGGTTCAACCTATAAACTCATGAGTTATGGGGTTAAACCCATGGATTTTGGGTTTTAACCCATTTTCCAGAAATAAAGAAGAAGTTAAATACTTTAAAAAAACACCAAATTAAAGTTAAATACTTCAAAAAAAAACACATGATTCATACGACCACATTTGTTTGTACATGGTAGGACAGGAGAACCCTTAACTTTTGGGTGTCGAAGGAACATTACAGAAACACCACTTTCCAAATACTTAACATTATTATCCCACCTTCAATACAAAGAGAAGAATCCGTAAGCATAGATTAACAAGATGACGTCAACTGTGGTGGGAGAAGAACCCGTTTGTGAGAGGAGATGACGACATTGGTTAGTCCAATAAATTCTGGAGTTCTTCCTAATCCACCACCAATACAAAGAGATGGTGTAATTTTATGCCGATATATATATATATAATATATATATATATATATCTATATATATATATATATATATATATATATATATATATATCTATATATATATATATAGTCAAGATCAAATAAGAAGGAAATTTTTGGTAGGAAGGTAAGAAGTTTTTTTTCTACATATTTTTTTCGCGAACAAACAAAATGAATCATTAGATGATTCATTTGTAAGATGATTCACAAGAAAAAATTCTCAAAGAAAAACATCTCGATGATTCATTTATACAATGATTTTGTTGTTATTCACTAAAATTGTCATAAAAGTGAATTTTTTCTTAATTTATTTAAAAATGAATCATAAATATGTTTTTTTGGGAATTTTTTCTTGTGAATCATCTTACAAATGAATCATCTAGTGATTCATTTATTTTGTTCGTCAAAAAAATATGTAGAAAAAAAACTTCTTACCTTCCTACCAAAAAAAATTTCTTACCGGATCCGATTAGGTCCGATTAAGTCCGACTTTGACCTGCGTTGACCAGATCCGATTAGGTCCGATTAAGTCCGATTAATTCCGACTTTGACCTGTATTGACCAAACCCGATTATAGTGACGAATTAGCAATAAATCTCATCGGTGGAGGTCCGATTAGCGATTAATTGCCGATTAATCAGCCGATTAGGCCGATTTCTGCAACACTGATATATATATATATATATATATATATATATATATATATATATATATGTGTGTGTGTGTGTGTGTGTGTGTGTGTGTGTGTGTGTGTGTGTGTGTGTGTGTGTGTGTGTGTGTGTGTGTGTTCATATATTTTAACTAATTATTGTGTGGATGTAGGAATGATTGTGGGCCAATCATTTCAAAAATTTGATTAAGGGTATAATAGTAATCTTAGCACACTTAATTATGGTAAATATTTATAACATTTAATATCTTTAAATCGGGGGAATTAGTTTCTCAACCCTAAAAACCCATCGATCATTTTTTCCATTAAACCCTGTTGACATCAGTCTCTTGATAAAATCCAGGTATTCCTGAATTCGTTGTGACAATATTAACAAGCGGATGCTTCATCAGACCCACAATCGTAACAACATCATCATCTCCATTTCTAAATCGTTCTCTCTATCTCAAATCCTCCAAACTATGTGCTTGTTTCATCGAATACCCTCTAGCTAGCAAAATCATTGTAAGAAATAAGTTGCATATGCTCAATCTCTACAAATATATGTCCAATTGTGTATCGCTATTTGAATCTATATGCACTCTATCTCTTCGATATCTTCTTAATTTACACCGATGGTATTCAAATCACAACTGTTAAATATTTTTTTTAGTAAATTCAGAGCTGCATCGTTCCATAAACTAATACAAATTAGGTTATCATGAAATTCATTCTCTCTCCATCTCTAATATTAGATTTTGGATTCATTTTATGTATATATATTCCAACTTTCGAACTTGAATCATAGATTTATCGTACTCTACAAGTGAAAGCTGTTTAAAGAAACAATTTTCAAAATGTGGGGAAATAGCTGAAGGTATATATATAATATATATATATATATATATATATATATAATATATATAGTAGTAATTGATTGAAGTAGACAAAATTGCAAATTTGGTCCCTGTGGTATGTCAAAACTAGCACGTTTGGTCGAAAATGGGTTTGGCTTGCAAGGATGGTCCAATAGTTTCATTTTGTTGCAAGTTTAGTCCAATGACTTAACAACCGTTACCAAGCTCCCGTTACTTTACCCATGCCCCTCTCACTTAAGGGTATTTTAGTCCATTCATCCCTGTAATCGTTCCCGGTAAAGCTAAATAAAAGCAGTTCGTCTCCTCCTCAATAAAGTAAATCGTCGTTCTTTAACCAAGATCAATAAAAGCCCTAGACACAAAATCTGTTGTGTTAGTTAAGTTGCGATTTGGTGAGATTATCGGTGGATGAACATACCAATGTGGCACGTAAGGTTGTTAAACACACACTTCAACCCCAAGGTTTTTTATGATACGTAATTTGCCCTTTTTCATCTTTTGATTTCTTGAAATTTTTTGATGTAACTCCACCTGAAGTGTTTTTTTTACTTGTTTTGAAGATGGACACCCAACATTGTTTACCATTAAGCTGTACCATGGAGGCGAGTTCACTAAGTACCCTGATGTTCGTTACATTGACGGAACTGTAAACTATGTTGACATGGTAGACATAGATGAGTTTTCAGTTCATGAGCTCGATGCAATCATGAAAGGTTTCAGATATGGGGTTCCTCCTGTTATATACTACCATTTTCTTGTGCCTGGTGGAGACTTCCACTTTGGTCTTCGCCCTTTAGGAAATGATGAAGATGTTGCAAACTTTTCCCAATATGTCAGTGAGCACAAAGTGATGAAGGTATACACAGAACATGGTGAAACAAAACTACTCACCTGTTTCTTGAATCCTAAACCTGTTACCAAGGGTAAACCTGTTACCAAGGTTACCCTTGTATAGTTAGATGAACCACATGAGGATGTGCAACACAATGATGAAGCTCCTGATGACCAATCAAAGGAAACCCCTGTGATGACTACACCTACTGATGTGGTGCCCACTCAACCAAACCAACTTGAAATCCAATTCAATGAAGTACTTCAAGTCGCATCCTTATCACCTGAATATAATAGGAGAAGGGTTACGAGCAAGGATGGAGTGATGGCATCTTGTAGTAAGAAAATATACTTTGATGGTATTGGTGAGACTGAGCAGATAGCCAAAGACTTTGTTGAGGCAGCTATTGATTTTGATATTGGACTCTACCAACAAATACTACAAAGCAATGTTGATGGAGTCAATGGCCCTAACATGCATGATGTCAATGAACCTCAGATGGATGAAGAAAACTAACCTCAGATGGATGAAGAAAACCAACCTCAGATGAATGGCTTTTGGGATTTTGACTATCAAACTGATGCTTGTGTCCAAGATGGAAGTGAAAGCCAACCTCAGTCTAACATGGACAGTAATGGAAAACAAAGTGTAGTGAGGTTGAAAGTAAAGAAGGAAGTGAAACAGAGCAGGAAGATGATAGTGATGATAGTGATTATTGGGTGGGTGAAGATAATGTAATTGAAGATGTTGAAGTTGATATGAGGGATTTTAACATGAGCATTGATACAGAAGTAGAGTTCTTGGATAAAAGGATTAGGAATCCTAGACAACATGAGAGTGATGAAGAAGCTGATG